ACATAGGGTCGCTATGAGTCGCAGGCGACTCGACAGCACATAACAACAACAACAACATGTTGTATATGTGACTACAGATGAGATAGTCTCACACACACACACACACATACACATAAAACTTTACTTCCATGAAATACATTTGCATTTAGAATAAGTAGTACTTTCTGTTCTCTAAGGAGAAGAATTTTTTTCACATTTTTCCCTTCCTTCTTTCTCATCTCCTTTTTCAGTAGCACTCTGATCTTCATGTGTAGGATTCCATCTGCCTGCCTTCCTTCATGGCACCTGTATCTGCCTGCCTTCCCTCACGGCACTTGTATCTGCCTGCCTGCCTTCCCTAACAGCACCTGTAACTACCTGCCTTCCCTCGTAGCACCTGTAACTACCTGCCTTCCCTCATAGCATCTATATCTGCCTGCCTTCCCTCACAGCACCTGTAACTGCATGCCTTCACAACAGTCTTGCCACAGTTTTCCCACATCCCATAATCCATGTCCTTCCAGTTTCCAGCCTTACCATTAAGAGTTCTGCCTCCATATTTCCTCTGTCTATCATGTCTAGCGTTAACTTTAAAATATGCAAAGTCTTCAGGATAAACATTATGGTGTACTTTATAATCAATCTTCTGAAAGACTGACACAATCAAAACATGGAACCTCATAGATATCGGTCATTGGACATCTTATTCCAAAAAGTCTAATTAGTAAAGGCAACTATGTGGTGAACATTTTAAAATACATTCTGAATAACTATTTTGGTCTTTGCTTAATGTACTGGTTTTCCTATTTTGGTACATTCTTGGGTCTCGCCTAAAAAAAGACAACTCATAAGGCTAAAATGTAAAAGTTACAAATTACCTAAAGTAAGGACATAATATATGTAGTATAGCCTTGGTGCAATTACATTTAATTGAGGATTTTGAAAATGATTTAACAAATTGAAATAAAGTCTCCTCTGAGTGAACTATATATATATACTTTGGGGAATAAATGGTAGATATTTACTGAATTTACTCTATAGTATAAACAGAGAACTGTAATAGTTTAGTACATTGTAATAAATTACGTTAAAGGAAACAATACTATATGAGTTTAATCAATGCTACTATGTCTCAAACATACATAAATATGAATGGAATATCCATACATTGTCATCTTTGTGCAGTCAGCTGTGAGTTCCTGAAGAAGAGAGTTTAAGAGGTGGTGAGAAGACATAAAAAGACTTACACAGTAGAGAACGTTCTAGAGGAACGAACATTGGAATCATTTCAAGATATTGTGGGTGGTTTTTCAAAATTCTGATTGATTCTTCTATTGCTTACAATTGACCACTTCATTTCTAAATGTGAAACAAAATACTAGGAGCGACCAGCTTGCTAAGGATTCAAAGCCAGATGGTATATCTGTGTCCTGCTGAGTTGATGGGCTGGAAATGCCATTCTGAAGATGGCTGGCACCAAGTAATGCTTCAAAGTAATCCTATTTAAGATCATTTGTGCATCTCTGTATCACTTGCATTTTAGTGGTGGGCTTAATGAATTTTAAGTTGCAGTGGGCAGCATGGCACTCATAGTCAATAGAAAATGTGTATTTATCTATAAATAAATGAGAACCTGGTGGGGCCTTTGTATTAAAAGTCAGGTAGGCCCTGACTAAGTCTCCAGTTTGGAGGCTCATGTGTTAAACAGATTCTGGAGGGTAGGTTCTTTTGATGTAGTTGGAAGTCAGGTGTAAACTGTTTGGTTGTTTTTATTTCATTCACAATTAAGTGTAAGCTAACTGGTCCGTGGATTTAGTTAACAATCAGCTGTAGGCTGGAAGCCTCTTGCTTAAGTCAATCAGGACCTGGGGGGCAGCATGGCACTCACAGTCAATAGAAAATGTGTATTTATCTATAGATAAATGAGGACCTGGTGGGGGGCCTTTGTATTTAAAAGTCGATTAGGCCCTGGCTAATTCTCCAGTTTGGAGGCTTGTATGTGAAGCAGTTGGATTCCGGAGGGTAAGTTCTCTATATTTAGTTAAAAGTTGGGTGTAAATTGTTTGCTCTCTTTTATTTCATTCACAATTAATTGTGTGTAAGCCGATTGGTTGTCTTTTTTTTTTTCCCCCTGAATTTTATTTTATTTTTTTTATTTCAACTCTTTCATTGTTGCACACTTTCCTCCCTGTCCACCCCTCCCCGCAGTTCTCTTTTCTCTTTAACAAGTAAAAAAAAAAACCAAACAAAACTCTTTCATTGTTACACAACCCCTCCTCAGTCCACTATGCAGGTTTCATTCTGCACTCTTGTCATGACAATAATACCTAATCTTATATTCCTCCTAAACAGTTCTCTCCCTCATCATTTTCAATGCAGTGTGTATTGTTTATCCCCTCTTAGTTTCCCCCAAGCTCCAATGTCTTGATTTAGGTAACAATCAGCTGTGAGCTGGAAGCCTCTTGTTTAAGCCAATCAGTGCCTGGTGGGCAGGCCTTTGTATTTAATAGTCAGGCTTAATGTTAACTGTATTTGGAAGAACATTGTTCTTAGTGGTATAGCACTAGTCTGTCAGTTTGCTGTACTGAGATAACTTGGGTTGTTGTGATACTAACCAATGTACCACTGATGTGTCAAATGTCATCATGGTTACCCACAGAGGACAGGGTTTATTAGAGCTCCCATATTAAGATAGGCTTGGAAGCAGGATTGTAATCCACTTTTTAAACAACAGGCCTTTGAAAACTCTATGAACATTAGAAAAATGACAATCTCTATAGAACAGGGTTCAGATCTTGTGTTCATAGGGTCACTATGAGTCGTACTTGACAACACTTAATAACAGCAGTGAGATTAAACTGTCAGCTCAAATTAAACTCTAATAATAGTAGCTATAATAGAAAGTGGGCTGATAAGGTTATCAAATTGCTTTTTCAATAAACAAACAATAAAAAGTCAATCTGTGATCCAGGAAATAAATTATAGAATGTTTCATAGTTTTTAATAGATTTTTGACAACATGAGTTGAAAGCAAACCATAAATGAGAACCAGTTTCCCTTTTCTTTCTTTGGAAAGGAGAAGAAAGCAGTTTTGTGTATACGTGTTATTTCTATATGCTGACTTTGTTGAAGTCTTCCATAGCAGTTCAGGTGAAAGGTGATTGTACTGTAGAGGTTGTGAGATTATATAGTCTAATAGGGTTGTGATTAGGTACCATTGGGGTAACTATTACTCATAATGGCCCAAGTATACAATAGTCAATACCTTTCCCTATATAATTTGTAAAAATGATTAAATATTATTATTATTATTTTCACTTTAAGCAAAATATTGCTGAAGATTATCTAAAAATGGTTGGAAGAGTACATTGAAATGAAACTTAGAAGTTCAAGCTGGGTTTAAAGAGGCCCTATGTACTATCAGGGATTTCATTGCTGATGACAAATGGATCCTGGTGAAGCCAGAGAACATGAGAAGAGTATCTATCTATGCTTTATTGACTCTTCAAGGGCATTTGACCGGGTGGGTCATAAAAATAATAGGTAACATTAAGAAGAATGGGACTCCCAGAACAATTAATTGTGCTCATATGAAATCTATTGTTAGATCTTGTCTGAACAGAATAAGGGAACAATGTATGGTTTTAAATCAGAAAGGGTATATATCGGAGTTGATTCCTTTCTCCATACCTATTCAATCTGTATGCTGAACAAATTATTTGTGAAGTCAGACTCTATGAAGAAGAATGTGGTATCAGGATTTGAGGAAGACTCATCAACAACCTAGCTGATGCAGATGACAAAATCTCGCTTGCTGAAAGTGAGGAGAATCTGAAACACTTTCTGCAGAAGATCAAGGACTGCAGCCTTCAATATGAATTACATCTGAAATTTGTAATTGATGTGGGGAAGCTCTAGTGGCTTAGTGGTAAGGAGTTGTGCTATAAATCCAAAGGCACACACTTCAAATTCACCAGCTGCTTAATGGGAGAAATATAGGCAGTCTCTTATGTAATTTACAGCCTCTGAAAATCCACTGGAGGGTCAGCTATGAGTCAGTTCCAACTTGATGATATAGTAAACAAAAATGAGTAGACATTTTTTAAAGTGTTTTAATGTATTTAAGTTCTTAATACTTTGAAAAGATGTTGTTTCAAAAAATTGAAATCCTGGGAATGAGGTCATTAAGTCCAGGATTGACAAGAGAAAACTTTTTATCAGAGTCCTGATTATTTTACTCAGTTGACTTGTCTATGACTTTGAGCATTTTCCCACTTGTTTTCCTGGCAAAGGGAAGAAAAAAAATATCTAGATTTAAGGGACCAGAAAGATTTACCTTTAGCTGATATTGCCTTGTTTGAAATTGTCTTTAACAACTACACTGATCCTTTTCTTTCTATTTTGTAAATGTTTTCTAACCCCTCTGGTCAATGTAACTCAATCACATATTTTTATATAGTGTTTTAAATGAATAGTAATTTCAGTGTGATAATTGAGACCACATCATTCTATTAGACCTATTTAGGTTTATGTGCACGTAAAGAGAGAGAGAGTGTGTGTGTGTGTGTGTGTGTGTGTGTGTGTGTGTTTGCATGCTTACTGAAGGAACAAAAAGACTTGTTAAGATCAATTTTATCACATAAGATATAAAATTAGAAATGTTTTACCCGTTTTTCATTTGTGGATTTCCTGGTTGATACAAACAACCTTGCTATGTGTGTGTATTTAACATTCTCTGCTGCTGACTAAACATTGGCGATTCGAGTTCACCCAGCTTGCCTCAAAAGAAAGACTTGGTGCTTTGCTTCTAAAAACAGCCATTGGAAGCCCTGTGGTACCCAGTCCTACCTTGACACACGGAATTGACTTGACAGCAACTGTGTTGGCTTGCTTTGTAGTGTCACCCCATTCGCTGTGCTTCGAATCCTCTTCATCGTCACAGTGATGAGGCTTGTTTGCTGTCCTCAAACTCTGGCCACTTTGGGTCTTACCCACTACTAACAGCTGATCTTTCCCGCCAGGTTATCCAGGCCGTCTTTTTTGGGATCTGTGTACTGACTGACCTTTCCAGCCTTCTGACAAGAGGGAGTGGGAACCAGGAGCAAGAAAGGCAACTGAAGAAGCTCATCACTCTCCGGGACTGGATGCTGGCTGTGCTGGCCTTTCCTGTTGGGGTTGTGAGTATGATGAGGTGGGGGTGGGGGTGGGCGCTCTTAATCTCAAAAGAAAGTTATGTCTTATTTCAGACTTCTAAGGGGGAAGAATTCCCATGATAGAAGGTCTTATGTAACTGAAGTTTGGAAAGTATAATACTTGGGTCTATGCCCATTCTTGTAATTTTGAATTTATGAGAAGAAATCATACCAGCATTATCTCATACCATTTAATTTCCCCGACTGTGCCATTAGCTAATATCAGTTAAGTAAATGCCACTTAAGTTTGGGTTTAGTCTAGCTCCATTGATTCCCCCTCCCCACTGTTTTCAGTTAGAGTCCTTCTCTAGCTCAGCTTTGCTCACAAATCTGCACATAAACTATGTCTTTGAAGGGCCAAGGTCCCATGAGATGATATTGTATTTGAACCCAGTGTTTGTTATCTAGTGCTGATGGAACCCAAACACCACAAGGAAGTGGCTCTAAAGAAAGCAATTTATTTCCTCACGGTTTTTCAGGCTGAAGTCAAATCTTCGTTTCAGCCAGCTACACTCCTTCCTTTCCTTCCCTATTGGTGACCCTATTGTTTCCTTACTGTTGCTGGCCTCTCACAGTGTCTGTCTGCCTTGCTGTGTGTGTCTCTCTATGTCTATTCTAGTCTTTTTTGTAACTCAGAAGAGAATAGGGGTAGGTCTACCCAGTGTAATATATATAAAGAGAGATGATATAACAGCGTTAGCATAATAAAGGTTAAATCTCTGTTTACAGATTTACAGGTTTAGGATTTCAACATATATTTTAGAAAGACACAATTCATTCCATAACACTCAGGAACAACCACATGTATGTCTCAGATTGTGAGAGCACATAGTCTATCATCTAATTCAAATACAAACTTGTCACTCACCAGCTGGATTTTTTGAACCAAACAGGAGCCAAAGTGACCTGCATAGCACAGGCCCTAAGGTCAAAGATCCATTACAGGGAGAGTAGACCATTCTTTTTCTCTTTGAAAAGGCTGTGTCAAATTTTATTTTGTGAGGAATGTTGTCACCCAGTTTGTTGGTTGCCTGCACACAGTGTCTCTAATCACCTGTTCCCTTCAGATAGTGCCTTCTCCCATTCTAGGGGAAGATTCGTTTTCTATCCATTGTCCTTTAAAGTCCTCGTCCTCCAATGATCCATGCTTATTGTTGACAATCTAGACACAGCTTCCAAATATGCGTCCAGAGACTTTTTCAAAGTGTGAAAGAGAAAGGATGCCACTTTAAAGACAATGGTGATCTGGTGATCTGACTCAATCCAAGTTATTTTTTTTCCCTTCTGTCATTTTTATCATTATCCAACTCTCAGATGCATAGCAAGTGATCGAAAAGATCATGGCCTGAGCCCTGGTGGCCTAGAGGCAAGAAGCTGCACTGCAGTCCCAAAGGTGTGCTGTTTGAATCCACCAGATGCACCGCAGGAGAAAGAAGAGAAGCAATCTCCTCTTGTGCCCGTCAAATCTGATTTGACAGTACAAAACAACCACTACCACCACTTTAAAAAGCCCACAACACACCACACCCCCCAAACACCCCAATACAACCAACCAACCAACCAACCAAACAAACAAAAAAGCTCACGGCCTGAATCAGGCACATTTTAGTCTTTTTTAAAAATTTTATTTAAGTAACATCAGTTCATTTATTACAGTATGTCAGCATCTTCTATTTTGCTTCATTATGCATGTGAAAGCTGGGTAATGAATAAGACCAAAGACGAATACTACCTGAATTGGGTTGTGGGTGAAGAATGTTGAAGTTACCATGGACCGCCAAAAAAGAAACAAATCTGAAAAATAGTGTCAGCAAAGGACAGGAATACCCTCAGTGAAATGCTTTGACCCAATAATTGCAACAGTGTTCCATTTACTTTTCTGCTTATTCATTTTTTTACACAGTAGAGATTGTGAAGACGGCACAAACCTGAGCAGGGTTTCATTAGGTTGCCCGTAAAGGGACCTGGAAGTGGGGGCTGAGCTGAAAGACACTTTGATATGATGAGGATAACAACATGTGAGAATTAATAGGCACCCCCTGTCTCTGATTTTACTTTCTCAAATGGAATAATTACTAGATCTTAAGAACCTTGCAAGGCTCGATGAAGTATTGTAATTTGGTCGCATTCCTCTTCTCATCCCCTCCTCTTTGTTCCTTGGACAAACACGTGCTTAGATTGGAGCCATTTAGTAAATTTCTGAAATTCTGTTTTCCACAGTTTTTTTAACTTTATAATTACTTACTATTTCCTTCTTTGGAAATGACTTCTAATGTGCAAATACTTTTGCTCCGAATTGCCATCTGAGATAAAATTACCATTGGTGTGAACTGTAAAGACCTATTTTCTTCTGCATAAAGGGATTGTCTAGAAAATGACAGGCTTGTCCTCTTGTTTTGTTTATTTCTTTTACCCCTTTACTCCTTTGGAATTTCTGTAGAGAAGGAACAAGAGAGGAGTGTGGTTGCCTCTAGACATCTCGGTAAATAGAAAAGAGAAAGAGGCTTTCTGCATAGCTTCTTTTAGCTCCACGTTTTGTTTCCTGTTGCATGGTGGCAAACGCTCCGGTGGAATTCCCGCTTTCTGTGGTGAATCTTTGTGACATTGCCACCAAAGGCTCATTGCATGTGGCCTTCAGAAATTTGACTGACTTTTGAACTGTGTTTGAGATTTGAGGTGTTGTCAGCCGTCACTTTCCTTTCTGAATCTGACCCGGCACGTTCACTCCAGGATTTCTCAATGAAGTGTAGTGGTTCTTTGGTTTGCTTATTTATTTGCTTGCTTCTATTATTTTCCTACATGTTTTATTATTTTTGTGGTTTCATCTGTGTCAGAGGAGAGGAATAAAATAATGTTTGACCATTGGCCTTCCTTTATCATTGGATATCGTAGTGTCGCTTTTGGGCAGCAGGGTTGTAGACCTTCCTCTGGTGGCGAGGACTTTCGCCTTCTCAGTGTTGTGTCCCAATGCCTGCCATGCTGCCTGGCACACAGCAGCTGATAGTAGTCTTTCAATGAATAGGAGAACTTAAAGACTAATACTTAATGAGATATGCAGCCTCACTGAGTTCTTGAACTAATTTTTCCTTGTTTGGTTAATATTTCCATTTTTTAGAATTTTCCCTGCTACTATGAGTCAATTTCCTTTTTATATTTACTATAAAATTATTTTGAGGAAAAAAAAAAAGAAATGCTACTAAGTGACTTTGTCCAAAGCTCCATTTATTTCTTAGCCGAGTCATAATCAGCAAGGATATGAATTAGGCTTATTAATTTTATTAGCGTTTTGACCCAAAGTGGGAATGGGGTTTGTTGGGTTTTTTTCCCATTAAAAATGCAGTTTTGCCTTTCCTTATTATTGCTTCCCAATTTATCCTTTCCAGTGTTCTGTTTCCTCTGCTGGACTACAGACTTCCACTCCCACCCCTTTTGACCTTCTTTTGTACCCCTCAAATGCCCAGTGGGTTTCCACTGTGCTTTTATCATCATGGCTTAAGACCTTCCTTCTTAGTAAAATGCAAGCACTTCCTGGAGCACTGTCACAGAAAGAGGGATCATATCTATTGTTCTTGGAGCTCCTCGCCTGGAAGGGAGGTGCCCAGCCTAAAGGTTTCACTGTGGCAAAGGGGCAGGATTAATGCCCAGGATCCTTGGACATGCGGCATGTTTATAACTCACTCTTTGCCTTCTAGTCGGTAGCTGACCCTCCAGTTGGTTCTCTGAGCTTGTACATCACACAGGAGGAGATTGTCCATTTATGTCCTGTGGAGCAGCTGTGAGATCTGGACCACTGAAGAGGCTCAACCTTTGAGTTTTCAGTGCAGTCCCGTATGGACTGTGCCAGCAGATTTGAGTTGCTGAGCCGTGCCTGTAGGCAACTGTAATAGAAGAATGTTTATGGAGGTTGCAGATGAGTCATGATAATGTTCATAATTAAAATCTCTGACCATTTGGATGGACATAGTCAAAGGCCCTGAGGACTGTCCTCATTTCAGGAGAGCACTGAGCACACTTGAGAATCCCAGGGAGGAACACCCAGAGCCTCTACCTCAGACTCTTGGGGTCCTCAGAAATCTCCCCGCTGGGCCGCCCAGGCAGGTTCCCACACAGTTCCCCCGCTGTTTGCCGCTCTGCATTCTATCTTGATTTTTCATTTGTCAATCAGGAGGTTACTGGGAAAGTAATGCTATTTTTACTCCCTGGTACAGGACAGCAAGGCATTAGAGAGGTCAGAGAGTGGCAGCTGAATTTATCACCTCTGCTCACACTTTCCTTTAAAGAGACCTTTAACCCTGAGCTTTTCCTGACATTCATTCGCTTCTCCCTCTGTTTCTGTCTTTCTCCCTCTTACCTCAGCTGCTGCTGTGGCACCAAGAAGGGCCTCATTGGGGTTATCTAGGGATTGTCCTTTCTACATTAATGCTGCCTTCTGTAACAAGGTTAATTGAGAGTTGACAGTAATTGCTTCTGTGAGCGTGAAGCATTAAATATGATTTTGTGACCAGCAGCCCTATTGTATCTGCTCCATGGGCTCTCTGAATCTGAGGGCTATATAAAAATCAGGAAACATTTCAATCAAAGATAATTGGAGTAAAGTTTTATTTCAGCATAACCTTGAAGAAATCCCAAGAACTGCTTGTGAGTACATGTGTCATCCTGATTGGTGTCCAGTCTCTTCCATGAAAAGCTGGCCTTGATTAGTAAGGCCGGAAACCATGGCTGCTTGCGAAGCATCACAACTTCCTCTGCCGGATAAGCCACGGGAGGCTCTTTTTACCCTGCACTGCTCATTTCTGAGCCCTGTCACCCCTTTAAAAGAAGCACTATGAACCATTCTATGACGTTATGTGGTCTGGAACTACTGAAGTTTATTGGAAGCAGTTAAGCTGAGAATGTCTTTTGACACCTGAGTTTGTTCTGGCCCATATTGTTATCATAGTTAATACGGAATATTTGATCCTTTCAACAGTAACAACAGTGAACAA